AAAAAAAAAAAAAAAAAAAAAAAAAAAAAAAAGAAAAATGTGAGGTTTCGGCAGAAACGAAGCGAAGCGAAATAAACTTATTTTGTCAAACTCGTCACCTTGGTTGGTTCTTCAGAGCAATCACTGCCGCGTCCATCCCACCACCCAGAGGCAACAGTGGGGCCCCTTTCTGACCAGCTCTACTCCAGCTGGGCTGGAGCACCCGCTGGGAATTTGGTGAAGTCGGGAGAGGACCGTGAGCCTCTCTTTTTATTTGCTTTTTCCCAGGAATGATTATTTTTCAGAGGAATTCACCGTGGCTGTGGAGGGGGTTGAGGCAGGACCTGACCCCTGTGGTTCCCCCGATCTTTCCAAGCAGTGCTGGAGATTCAGGGGGATGTGGCCGTGTCTCATGGGATGTCCCCTCACAGCTGAGGGTACAGCTGAGCGACTGCCAGGATCCTGGGGAAGTGACTGGATTTATTTTTTGTTTAAGGAAGGGACAAATAACCAAACCTCACAAACTTAATCAAAAAAAGCCCCAAGGGCTGGGTGGCAGAGTGGGTGGCGAGGGGACAGTCACCAGCCTGGGTTTGGGCTCCCCTTGGGGACATGGAGCAGCTGGTGTGGGATGAGTGGGAATGGATAGATGCTGGGGTCCCTCCAGGGGGGACAGAGGGCAGTGACATGGCAGAGGTGACACTGAGGCTGCACCCACTGGTGTGATGAGCCTGTCAGGTCTCAGCTGGTGACTGTACCTAACCAGGGTAATTTTTATGTCAATTCTTAATTTCTTTTATAAATCCTGGCTGAAACCGTGACTGACCTGGAAAGCCCCCAGGCCATGGGGAACCTCAGTGCCCAGCCACCCCTGCCAGCCCCTCACCCCCGTGCTGAGCCCCAGGACCCTCCGGGGCTTCTCAAGTGGGTTTTCATCCAGGCTGGGGCACGGCAGGATGCAGCCATGCCAACGCTGCCTCTGTGAAGTTATTTGGATCAGCTTGGGCTGAAATAAAACACCATCCCTGGGAGGTTCCTTCGTATTTGAGTCTTTGCTGTAGCCCCAGTCCCTGCAGCGTCCCTTCAGTGGGGTCCCATCCCTGAGGCACAATCCCTTCTCCATGGTGTGGTCCCCACTCCACAGCACCATCCCTTTGCCATGTGATTCTCTTCCCACAGACCCAGCCCTTTCCCAAAGCCACATCAATTCCCTATAACACTTTCCCCCATGATTCCATCCCTTCCCCTTAATTCTATCCCTTCCCCTCAATTCTATCCCTTCCCTTCAATTCTATCCCTTCCCCATAGTCCTATCCTAACCTGTGCCACCATCTCTTCCCTGTTAACCTCTCCCTTCCCCACCATCCCATCCCTTCCCAGTGCCCCCATCCCTTTCCCATGATCCTATCCCTTTCCTGCATCCCCATTCCTTCCCCACCATGCCATCCTTTCCCCATGCCTCTCTTCCCCACAGTCCCATTCCTTCCCTGTGCCCCATCCCTTCCCTACAATCCCCTCCCTTCCCCACGCCCCAATCCCTTCCCCACCATCCCCTGCCCTCCCCACCCCCAGACTTTAACCCCAGTTAAATCCACCAACACAGATTTCTTTTCTCTTTTTTTTTTTTTCTGTGTTTTTGGGTTTGTTTTGGTTCTTTGTTATTTTTTTGCTTCTGTTTCTCATCGATAAAAACGCCGTCGCTGCCAACACCAGGAGGGGCAGCTCCCGGCCCCGCGGCTCCTTCTCCACGCTGCCACAGGGTGGGGACACCGAGGACAGGACAGGGAGGGGACAAGGGACCGCCAAACCCGCCTGGTGCTCCCGGGGTGCCCGACGCCTATGTACAGGTGGAGCCACTGGCACTGGCCCTGGCTCTGCCCTGCCCGGGGGGCTCAAATCCCACTCGGCCTTTCCTGGCCTTGCCTGGGGGGCTCCACTCAGTGCCCGGGGGGTCCCGGGGGTCCCACCACTGCCACCGCTCAGTTTGTGTACACCTGAGTCCCGATCACACGCATGATCTCCTTCTGGATTTTGGGGTCCTGAGTATTGATATTGGCATCTCCCACTTGGCCGTCTTCGTACCTGGAAGGGGAGGAGGGGGGTCAGGGGGGGTCCCGGGGGGGTCCCGCGGGTTCCAGCGAGGTGGCACAGCTGGGACTCACACAAAGAAGAAGCGGGTGCAGACGTGGTCCGAGACGGGGCACACCCAGATGTTGCCGTGTTTCTGCAGGTCCTTGGAGGTGATCACTGCCGGGGGAAGGGGCTGTTGGACACGGGGTGGGGAATGGAGGCCCCGGGGTGGGGAATGGAGGCCCCGGCTGGGCATGGCCGGTGCTGGGGGCACAGCTGGGGGTGGGGACCCTCCCTCCCTCCTCCACTCGCCCAGTGATCCTGTGGGTGCTGCCCATGCCCCCCCCATTGCCCCCTCATGTCCCCACACCTTCACAAAGCGCGATGCAGTTCAGGTTGCGGCTCTGGAGGAAGCGGGACTGGATGGAGCGGGTCTGTGGAGAGAGCAGCCAGTGTTACCACCCTGTGGGTGCCATATCCCCATCCCCATCCTCCCCAGTGTCCCCCAGCCTGTCACCTGGGGGATGGTGTTCATCCTGTTGTACCGCTGCACCAGCTCATCCTTCGACGGCATCCGGTGCTGGCCTTTCCCCATCCCTGTGGAGAAGGAGGTGGTGGCCATCACTCCCGGCAGGGAACACTGCGAGGGTGACGAGGGGACACATGCCACAGACAGGGATGGCTGAGTGCTCCCGCCCTTTGGCCGAGCCCTGGGAACCCCCCAAAAGCAGGCACAGAAGCTTTTGGAGCCTAGAAAGCATTGGGGTTTTTATTCCCTGGTGTGTGGGAAAGTCCCAGCCCGGCTGGGAAGAGGCTGGTGCAGGTGATCTGGATGTGGGATGGTGCCGACTCTGGTGTGGCTCCTCTGGCCGGCGCGATGCCAAACCTCCCGGGCCCATGCAGGGGGTGGGGATGGGAGCACAGGCAGGACTGGGCAGAGCAGGCAGCCTCTTACCTGAGTATCCAAAGGAAATACTGGAGATGGGGCTCAGATAGATGCCCTTGCCATAGGCTGCTCCATGCAGCTTGCAGGAAAACACCAGGATGAGTGTGGTGGGGTCACCTCGACAGCTCAGGCGCGGTGACAGTGGAGGCACTTGGAACGCCCCGCTGCCTGTCCCCCTCCTTACCTGCCTGTCCCATTCCCTGCCTGCCTGCTCCCCTCTCTCCCTCCCTCCCTCCCTGCCTGCCACTCCGGGGTGCTTCTGGCCTGTGGAGCAGAGCGGTACCTGCAGTTTGGTGTAGGAAGCGTTGACCAGTCCGTTGCGGAGGATGGAATGCCAGTTCTCAATGTGAGAGCCGCTGGAAAAAGTCAGCCCCACGTCAGCCCCACAGGGTTCGTTGCGGGGCTCCTGCTGTCCCCCCACCTCGGCAACTCACTGGAAAGCGAAGGTGCTGCCGTAGAGTTTCTTGGCCGTGCGGAACCGCGCCTCCTTGGCCGGGGGGCTGCTGAGCAGGAGGAACTGGTGGGAGGTGTGCATGAACTTCAGCTGCTACCAGGGGAACAGGAAGAGCAGCGGCGGCACCGGCGGGCAGAGGACAGACAGACAGGCAGACAGACAGATCATGCACGGCTGCCTGGCCCCGTGTCCGGCCCAGCCCGGCTTCGGCTGCTCCGACACTGCCAGGAGAGCCTGTGGTATCACCCACCACACAGCCCATCCTCCATCCCATATACCCCATCCAGCCTCCCACACCTCCCAGGCTCAGACCACATCCCAAGGGATGCATCCTGTGGCCCAGACCTTTCTGTGGCCCACTCCATATCCTTACACACTTCATCCTACATCCCACAGCCCACAGCCTACATCCTGCATCCCACCTCCTGAACCCTTCAGCCCATCTCTGATATCCCACATTCCACACCCTCCATCCCCCAAATCCTGGCCAGGCCCCTTACCCTGCTGAGAGGCAGCTTGACGATGTGGGATCTGTTGCTGGAGATTATCCTTGGGAAGAGGAGGAAGAAGAGGAGGAGGAGGAAGGTCAGATAGGGTGGTCCCATGGTCCCCTGGGAGCAGGGCCAAGCTGGGAGCCAGAACTCGCCCCAATGCCATCGGGTGGTTGTGACCCCCCAGGAGAAAGGAGCTGAGAGAGTTGTGCCAAAGATGCCCAGCTGCCTCCCACTCTATCCCCTGTCACGGCAGATGTGGGGCAGCAGGGAGGGACGTGGGACAGTGGGATGGGGCCACAGCACTCTTGGCCTTACCACTGCAGGAGGGGATGGGCCAGAGGGTCCAGCTTGTCCATCTGCTTCTTGATCTCCAGATAGGATCCCTGGCAAAGACAGAGGGAGTGCAGAGGGTGCCACAGCACCCATCCAACTGTGGGTGGATGGAGATCAGCACCAAAATGCCACTCCAGGATTGGATCCCACACTGGGGGACGTGGGGGTGCGAGGCCACACCACATACCTGGGTCATCTCCCGGATGGACATCACGCTGTCCAGGGCCTTCTGCAGCCGCTCGTAGTTCTTCTTCTACATGTGGGGCAGGAGAGAGGTGGCCATCAGAGAGGTCCTTAGGGCTCCCCATGGCCCCTGCACCCCCCAGTGTGGGGCAGCATCGCCCTCAGTGCTTACCTTGGGGTTGAAGGCAAGAGTTTTGGGGTCGTTGGGGTCCACCACAGAGGGATAAGGCTCGAAGATGATGCTCTTGCGAGGGGACTCGAGGGCAGCGCGGCACATGGCCACCAGCAGGTCCACCACCTTGGGGCAGAGCGGGGGGTGAAGGGGCAGCCCCCCAAGGAGATGTTGGGGTCCCCACCGTGCGCATCCCCTACCTCGGCACCCGTGGCCACCTCCTCAGCTGCGCCCGACATGACGCCCAGGGTGTAGAAGGAGAAGACGCAGAGCTCCCGCGTGCACACAGCCGGCTGCGGAGGGACAGGAGTGTGGGGAGGGCTGGGACAGGGACACGGGGGCACAGCCCGCGCCCCGCTGGCCCCTGTCACCCCACCTTGAGCATGGAGCCGTTCTGGAAGACGTGCTGCTCGTCACACACCACGCAGTACTCGTTGAGCGTCGGGATCCGCTGCTCCGCGTACTTCATGATCTGAGGGCAGGACGGTGGGAGTCAGTCCCTGCACAGAGCTGGGAGCATGCTCCAGGCAGTGGGATGGGGATGAGTGGGATGTGGGGCAGTGGGGAGGATGCTCTGGGCAGCAGGGTGAGGATGAGCAGGACATGAGGCAGTGGGATGCGGAAAAGTGGGACACAGGGCAGCGGGAAGGATGCTCGGGGCAGAAGGATGAGGATGAGTGGGAAGGATGCTCTGGACAATGGGATGTGGAAAAGTGAGACATGGGGCAGTGGGAAAGATGCTCTGGGCAGCAGAATGAGGATGAGTAGGACATGGGGCAGCGGGGAGGATGCTCCAGGCAACAGGATGAGGGTGAGTGGGATGCAGGACTCTCACCTGGACGAGGAAGCCGTACTCCAGCGTAGGGATGTTCTTGCAGTGGCCACCGACCTGTGAGGGAGCCGGAGCGGAGCCAGCTGCGTCATCCCCTTTCCCACAGGCACCCCCAGCTCTGCATGGCACCGGCAGCCCCCAACCCCACTGGCACAGTGGGCCCCCCAATGTGCCAACCCCACCCCAGCACAGCAGGACCCCCAACATGCCAACATCCTCCAGCACAGCAGGACCTTCGATATGCCGACCTTCTCTAGCACAGCGGACCCTAAACATGCCAACCCCCACCGCCACAGCAGCACCCCCAACATGCCAACACCCCTCAGCACATCAGGATCTCTGACATGCCAACATCCTCCAGCACAGCAGGACCCCCGACATGTCAACCTTCCTCATCACAGCAGGACCTCTGACATGCCAACCTTCCCTGGCACAGCAGGACCCCTGACGTGCCAACCCCACCCACAGGGATGCAGCACCAAGAGGGGGTAAAGCACCACTGGGCCCCCTGGCTGGGCCCCAGCTCCCCAAGAGCACCCAAGGGTGCTGGGGACAAGAAACACAATAGGGGCTCCCCCCACCCCAGGGGGGCCCCAGCACCCCACAACTAGTGATCTGAGCCCAGAGGAGCCCCTGGCAAGGGAAAGGAGAGGAAAGCAAACCCCGAGGAGGGGCAGCACCCACCAGGATGTTGAAGGGTGCAACACCTGCCTGGGTGCTGGCAGGGGGGTAGCCGAAAACTTCCACCTTGGGGTTCTTCACCATGCAGGACACGGAGCGGTTCATCAGGCGGTTCACACGAGCCTCAGGGATGCCCAGTTTGCCCTTCAGCACCGAGTCTTGGATAACAGGGAAGCTGGGAGACCTGCGGGCACAGAACCCCCTGAGCACCCGTTTGTCACTGTCCCCTGCTCCTCCATCACCCGGCACCGAATTTATCCATCAGCTGGAGCAACCTTCACCTCCCCAGGCTCTGGTGGGGAGCAGCAGAGTCCAAGTGGGGAAACTGAGGCACAGTGCCAGGCTCCACCCAGGCTGAGGGCACGGAGGGCTGGCACCTTGGGGACAGTGACGGGGTCTTACTTGGGGATGGGGGAGAAGATGCTGAGGCCAGCGCGGAACTTCTTGATGGTGCCGCTCGTCTTGAACCAACTGTGCCGCTTCTCCTGCTGGGTCTTCAGGAAATCGTTGCTGAGGTGTTTCCATTGCTGGGATGTGAACATGCCCAGGATCCTGGCAGAGAGGTGGCATTGGTGCCCGAGCACCATGGGGGACAGCACCCGTGGGTGTGTTGGTGTCCCCCAAGCCTGCTGCTTGAGTGGTCCCAGTCACACCCCAGCTCCTTCTCTTCCCCACCCACAGCCGGTGCTGAGCCTGGCAGGGGTTTGTGTGGTGGAAAAAAGGTAGTGGTACAGGGACATGTGGCACATGGTCGGTTTGGGGGCAAAACAGGAACTCTGTGGGCCCTCCCCACCCCCTCAGGTGCCCAGTGTGTTTCAGCTCTTACTTCTTCAGCTGCAGACCCAGCCCGAAGCCCTCCTTGTTGGACGGCTGGAACACCTCGATGGACGGTTCTGTGGGGAGAGATGAGGACGTGTCATTGGTGCCACCGCTGTGCCCGTTCCCAGGGCACGGGGGACACCGTGTCCTGCCCATCCCCACTCACCAGGGCCATCGAGGTACTGGGAGAGGGAGAAGCGCAGGCGGAGGACGATGGGCTCCGTCCGCAGCACCTTCCACGCCGTCGCCACCTCCTCCTGCCGAGGGAGAGCCGCAGTTCAGCACAGCCGTGGGGACACAGCCAGGGAGGGGAATTTGGGGACCCCCTGGGTGTGTGTGCCCACCCTCCCTGTGCCAACGCTGCCGGGGGCACCCCGGGGACTCACATCGAGGAAGCTGATGTTCACGTGCAGGTCGATGTCCACGTCATCGATGGTCCCGTACTCCCTGTGAACACACGGTGCTGTGGCACAGGGAGGCTGGCACTGAGCCAGAACAGCAGCCCCGGGCCCACTGTGCCAGAGTGGGCAGACTCAGGGGACAGTGACAGGCATGTGTGGGTCCCTGTGTATCGAGTGTGTGTACCCTGAGACCAGGATGGCACAGGGGGAGTGCCCGGATTGCAGATGTGTGCCTGGGGATGGCACAGCTGGGTGCTCAGGAGTGCCATGCCCAAGCATGCACAGCCAGGTGCCCCAAGCATGGCACAGCTGGATGCCTGGAGATGTCACAGCCAGGTACCTTGTTAATACCATAGCAGGGTGTCCCACGGATGGCACAGCCGGGTGTCCCAGAGATGGCACAACTGGGTGTCTGGGAGTGCCACAGCTGGGTGCTCAACATGGCCACATGCATGGGGATGGCATGGCCAGGTGTGCTGGGGATGGCACAGGTGAGTTGCTCTAGAGATGGCACAGTCAGGTGTCCCAGGGACGGCACTGGCGGATGCCTGGGAGTGCCACAGGTGGGTGCCTCAGGGATGGCACTGCCAGGTGTCTGGTGATGCCATGGCCAGGTGCCCCAGGGATGGCACAGCTGGATGTTCTGGGAATGGGCTGGGTGCCCCAGGGATGGCACAGATGGGTACTTGGTGATGGCAAAGCCAGGTGCCCCAGGGATGGCACAGCTGGGTGCCTAGTGGATGCCATAGCTGGGTATCCTGGTGAGAGTGTGTCTGAGGGACGGCACAGCCAGGTGACCTGGGAATGTCATGGCCAGGTGCCCAGAAGATGCCATTGCCAGGTGTTCTGGGAATACCAGAGCCTGGTGCCCTGGGGATGCCATGGGCGGGTGCCCAGGGATGACACATCTAAGTGCCTGGGCATGGCACAGTTGGGTACCCAGGGATGGCACAGTCAGGTGACTGGGCATGGCACAACTGAATGCCCAGGGATGGCACAGGTGGGTGCAGCACGGTTGGGTGCCCAGGAATGGCACAGCCGGTGTCCTGGGCACAGCACAGTTGGGTACCCAGGGACGGCACAACTGGATGCCCAGTGATGCCATGGGCAGGTGACCCAGTGATGCCACAGCCGGGTGTCCTGGGTACAGCACCCACCTGACGGCCACGGCATTCTCGCTGTAGATCTCCTTCACCGCCTCGATGTCGGCGTCCAGCTGCGGGTGCCGGTACAGGTCGGCGGCGCAGGTCCCCTGCGGCACAGCCCCCACGGCACCGTCAGACACGGAGCCCCCGCAGCCCCAGGCTCGGGATCGCGCTCGGGCCGGAGGTCCCCGACCCCCTCACTGCCCTGTGGGAGTCAGCACCCACCTGGACGCCGTAGAGGAACTCCTCGGACTCATTGTCCCCGTCGGAGTCATCGTCCGTCCAGTACTGGCCCTTGAGGTCCTGGGGGCAGAGGGGTGGGGGGCAGCAGATTAGGTGGGCACAAGGCTGGGGGAGAGGAGATGGCGAGAGGGTTGGGATGTGGTTTGGGGGAGGCAGATTAACAAGGAGTGAACAAAGGGGAGCAAACTGGGGAAGCTGGGTCTGGAGGGGGTTGGGGGCAGTGAACTGGGGGAACATTTAGGGAAGCAGGTTGGGGGAACAGTGGGATAGGGAGGAGGATGAGAGCAGCAGGATGGAGGGAGTGTTTTGGGGGGCAGCAGGATGGGGATGTGGGATGGGGGCAGTGGGATGCAGGGAGCGAGATGGGAAGAATAATTTTGGGGGCAGCAGAATGGAGGAGCAGGTTGGGGGAGGCAGGACGGGGCAGCAGATTAGAGGGGAGCAGGTTGGGGACAGTGGAATGGGGACAGCAGGATGGGGGAACAGGATGGGAACAGTGGGATGAGGGAGCAGGATGGGAGAACAGGATAGGGACAACAGGATGAAGGAGCAGGATGAGGACAGTGGAATGGAGGAGTAGGGTGGGGGAGTGGGATGGAGGAGCAGGATGGAGGAAGAGGATGGGGACTGCAGGATGGGGACAAAAGGATGGGGAAACAGGGTGGGACTGCAGGATGGTGGAACAGGATGGGGACAGCAGGATGGGGACAGTGGGATGGGGGAGAAAGATGGGGACAGTGGGATGGAGGAGCAGGTTGGGACAGTTGGGATGGAGGAGCAAGATGGGGGAGCAGGATGGGACTGCAAGTTGGGGGAACAGGATGGGGACCGTGGGATGGAGAAACAGGATCGGGGAGCAGGATGGGACAACAGGATGGGGATGGGGGCATGGGGTGCAGGATGGGCACAATGGGATGGGGGAGTGGGATGGGGGAGCAAGATGGGGACAGCAGGATGGGGGAGCAGGATGGGATAACAGGATGGAGGAGCAGGATGGGGACAGCAGGATGGGGTAAAAGAATGGGGACATCAGGATGGGGGAGCAGGATGGGGGAGCAGGATGGGGACAGTAAGATGGGGAACAGGAGGGGGGAGTAGGATGGGGACCCCGCACGGAGCTGCTGAGCGGGCCCCGACCGATCGCGATGGGGGTGGTCCCTCTCCCACCGGCCCCATTGCCGCCCCGAGCCGAGGGACAGCGGGACACGGGGGGACACAGGGGAGCACGGGGATACCCGGGGGGTCACCGAGGGCCGCTGCCCCATCGCCCGCCCCGCGCCCCCCTTAGGCCCGTCCCGCCGCCCCCCCGCCCCGGGCGCGCTCGCCCCGCGGGCCGCGCCGGGCTGTGGCCGTGCCCCGTGCCCCGTGTCCCCGCGTCCCCCCGGCCCTCACCATGTCAGCGCGGCCTGGCCGGCGCGGGCGCCGCCGCCATTGCTGCCGGGGGGCGGCCGGCCTGACGTCACACCGCGTCACCGGGCAACGCGCCCGTGACGTCACCGCCGGGACCCCCCGGGACCCCCCGGCTGGGCCCGGGGGAGCCGCCACAGCGGGGACGCGCAGGGCTGGGGGGTCCGCAGTGACCCCAGGGTCCGCAGGACAGGCTGCTCCTGGTCCCAGTTCGGCACCACCGAGGCCCCCAGCACAAGGTCCCCCATGGGGTGGCCGTGTTGGGGCCCCCCACAGTGTCCCCATGGGCCAGCAACGGGGTCTCCAGAGTCCCCAGTACACTGTCCCCAGCATCCCCGGCAGAGTCCCCACGGTACCAGCACCGGGTGACCATTTTTAGTCCACCCCTGGGCTGTCACAGTGTCCCCACAGCCCACCCCAGTGTCCCCAGTGTCCCCAGTACAGGGGCCCGGCATGCCCAGTACAGGATCTCTACACGATCCCGGTATAGGGTGACAATTTTGGATCCCCAGATGGCTGTCACGGTGTCCCCACACCCCAGGACAGAGCCCCCAGTGTTCCCAGTACACAGCCCCCAGTGCACCCAGTACATGGTCCCCAGCATTCCCAGTACAGGATCCCCTCATGATCCCAATACAGGGTGGCAATTTTGGGTCCCCCACGGCTGTCACAATGCCCCCACAGCCCAGCACAGTGTCCATGTTGCAGGTCCTTGTGTCAATAGTGTGTCCCCAGTGTCCCCATGATCCCAGTGGAGCAGCTGCAATGGGTCACCAATAAATGTCCCCATAGTCCCAGGACAATGTCCCATCATCTCCAGCATGGGGTCCCCAGTATCCCCAGCCCTGGGCCCTCATGGATCTGGCACAGGGCATCCCTGTTGGGTGCCCACCAAGTTGGCATGTTGTCCCCTGTGTCCCCAGCACAGCGTCCCCACCATCTCCATCACGGTGTCCCCTGTGTCCCCAGCATGGCGTTGGCACGGCCCCACTACAGAGCATCCACACTGCACCCCCAATGTGCCCACTGGAGGGTCTCAGGACCCTACAACAGCACCCCAAAATGCCCAGCCCCACAAAGAGAGGGACTCCTGAGGACCCACAGGTGGCTTTGGGGGTGTGAATTGAGGGGATGGTGTGAGCTGGGGAGATGATGTGAGTTGGGGGGTTTAGTTAGGGGGTCGTGTGAGTTGGGAAGGATGGTGTGAGTTTGGGGGACAATGTGAATGGAGGGGATGGTGTGAGTTGCAGTGGGACAGCCTGAGTTGAGGGGACAGTGTGAGTTGGGGGGGCAGTGTGAGTTGGGGGGGCAGTGTGCCTTGGGGAGTGTGTGAGTTGGGGGTGTGTGAACTGGGGGGCAGTGTGAGTTGGGGGGTGGTGTGAATTGGAGGGTGTGAGTTGGGGGTCGGTGTGAGTTGGGGGGGATGTGAATTGTGGGGATGATGTGAACTGGGGAGTGGTTGAGTTGGGAGACTGTGAGTTGGAGGGCGCTGCCCCTTTAAGAGCAGCGGCCCCTTTAAGGCGGTGTCCACTCTCCGTCCGCGCGCGCGGCGGCTGCACCGTCTCCTCATTGGCCGGTCGGGCGCGTGCAATTCTCAGCGCCTCCCCCGCGCCTTGTGCGTCCGCCGGTGAAAGGAGTCCCGGCGCCCCACCCTTGTGTCTCCCGGCGGGGCGGGCGGCGGAGGGATCCGCAGGAGGCGGTGGTTCGGCCGGCCGGGATCACCTTGACGGGGCGCGGGGGCGGCGCGCAGAGCGGCGGCGGCGCTTGGAGAGGCAGCAGCGATTCGTGACGCGGCTGAGCGGCGGCAGGTAACGGCGGCCTGAGGGGCGGCCGCGGTGGTACCGCCGTTATCCCCGTTAACTGCCGCCGGCAGAGGGGCCCCCTCAGGCGGCGGCTGAGGGGAGGGGGCGCGCGCCCCATGGGACGGTTGGGGGCCGGAGGGGCGCGCGGGGGGCTCGCGGTGCCGAGCACGTGGCCTGCGGCCGCCCTGGCCGCGCGGCCCTCCCGAGCATCCCCCGAGACCCCGCAGCGGGGAACGCCCGCTTCGAACATCCCCCCTCGTGGACCCGCACCGGGAACCGCCCGCTCTGAGCATCCCCCCCACGACCCCGCACCGGGAACCCCCCCGCACTTGGGAAACTTCGCTCCGAGCATCCTCCCGCGACCCCACACCGGGCACCTCCCGCGACCCCACACCGGGCACCTCCCGCGACCCCACACCGGGCACCTCCCGCGACCCCACACCGGGCACCGCCCGCTCCGGGCACGGGGAGGCGCGGGGGGGTCGGTCCGTGGGGCCGGGGCAGCGCACGGGGGATGGCCGCGCGGTTACACGGAGCGCGGGGCTGGGTGGCAGCTCCCGGCTGGGTCCTGCTGGCCGGGCTGTGCCCGAGGAGCCGCCAGAGGCTGAGTCAGAGGCAGCCGGGGCCAGTCCGGCTCCCCCCCCCGCCCGCACTCACGTAAGAGCCGGCGGTTCCCTCGAGCGGCTCTGACTTTAAATCAGTGAGCGGCTCGCTGCGCTCGCCAGTGATGCTGCAGCCTCTTCCCGCCCCCCTCCCCCGCAAAGATAATTAATCTTCCGCCATAATTGTGCCTGCTTAAACGCGTCCAGTTGATTTGGACAGTCTCTTGAACTGTGCAAACTTCTGAAACGTGTTTAAACCCTCTGTGTGGGGCTACCAGGGCATGAATAGGGCTTTTGTCGGCGGACAATGGCAACCTCCCGACTGTCTCCTCAGACTAAGAAAAGTAGAATGCAATCTCTGAAAACCTGCTTTGTCCTGATAAGGGAATTTAGTATCGTCGAGGCCCAGGTTAACAAAAAAATCAGTGTTTTACAGAGGTTTTTGTGATGCTAATGTGTTAACTTTCTTACTGCTGCTCATCATATCTTGCCTTGGCTCAAAGGTAGGATGACAAAGAGGTTTTTTGGTTACTTAGACACCTCTTGGGACTTGTCGTACAACCAGGAGTGCTTAATTAAAAAAAAATCACTCCAAAGCGCATCATTTCATGCCCGATATCCTGTTTATAAAGCAGAATTTTAGGCTAATTTAGAGGAGTTTGATGGCCCAATGAGCCTGGCTGATGCCGGCTGGTTTCCAGCCCATCACCGGATTAAGCGAGAGGTTTTTGTGCCGAGGCAGGAAGCGCTGCTGGGAGCCACGTGCTTGAACCGGGGACTTCTGCCTGTGAAACCCTTCCGAGAAACTTCGTTTTCGGTAGATAAGCACCCTGGGGAGTCTGCGGTAGCCTGCATTTTTTTGATTACCTGCTCCTTTATCCACCAGAAGCTGTAAATATTATTAAAACCTTCATTTCTTGCCGTTAGCCCGCGTGATCCGCCACCGGCCTTAATTCCCTTTGCACCCGCCAAGCTGATAATTGAATTTGGTGGGAACAAGACGTTTCCCAGGCCGGACGGAGCACGTGCCGCTCCTTTATCTCCCGTTGTTTTCCCAGGGGAAGATGGAGCCGCAGCATGTGGTGATGGATGGCACGTAGGGAATGGGGCTGCAGTACCGGGGCGCTACCACGTGCAGCGACCTTCATCCTGGAGTGGGCGTGCAGCGCAGGGAGCTACACTTCCACCTGTTTAAATGTTAAAAAAAAGACCCAAAGCTTCCTTTTATCATGTAAAGCAGGTTTATACAGCTTGCCTGAAGGCACCCAGGTGCTTTTTGCCGGGCTGAAAGGCTCCTTGTCCTCTGCAAGGTTAAGCCTGTAGGTGTGTCCTGCAAATACCCTCGAGATAAGTCTTTCTCCTCACCAAACATCCGATGCTTGTCACCTCCTCTCCTTATTTTTTTTAGTTAAGCCTACTCTGTGCGTTTGCCTTGCGGGGAGGGCAGCTCTGCTGAGCCAGCAGCACACAGGGAAAGTGCTGCTGTCTCCAGGGCCCGACTTTCCTTTTCCATTGCCTAAAAGCTGGAGAGCGATCCCTTTTGTGGGGCTCTCTTCCCGTGGATCCCCAGCTCGCTGCGGGGGGAAGCTTTGGCCAGCCAGGAGCAGGTGGTGGCTTCTGGGTCCCATCCAGGCTTGCAGAAAAGGGGTGGTGTTTTGGGGTGGCCATTTTGTACTTACGTAACGTCGCGACACCACCTCGTGCTGTGCTCCTTCCCTCAAGAGGGGATGCCAAGCAGCTGCATTTCTCTGTTGCTGAGTGCCTTTCGCCTCTGGAATGAGCAAAGCTGATGTTTTCGTAATCTTTTTTTGGCAATCTGAAGGCCTGCCTGGTTTCATAACCCTGGCCTAAGCACTAACTCAAACCATTTCTGCCTCTAGCTGAGGGCCCTGGGCATGAGCAGCGTCATTCTGCAGCATCAGAGAGGTTGTGTAAGTGAGGCTGAGCTGTAAATCCAGAATCATCACCCCCCCAGGAGCACCCCGCCCCCCTTCTCGCTGCAGTTCCTCCAGGCAGTGACACAGCTCTGCCGGTGTGGCCTGGGGACAGTCCCAGTCCCTGCTGGAGCTTCCACTTCCCGTTGTCACCGATAACAGACTTGGCCCTGGGTGGGGATTGCCGGGGTTGGGGTTGCTGCTCCTTTCTCCATCCCCAAGGGCACATCTGGAGGTGCTGTGATTTTAGGCTTTCTTGGCTGACCAGTGGGGTGAGCTGGCTGGAATTAGTCACCTGGCACTGCAAAACCAGTCCTGACTTCAAACGGCTCATTCTGGAATATTCAGGAGCTGCGGAGATACCAGACATCATTGAGATGCCCTGCCTGTAGCACAGGCAGCCCAAGTAATAAACTTGGGGATTTAATCATTATTCCTCAAGGAAGGAAGTCAGATTTATTCAGTGCTGGAAGCATACAGGCTTTGTAGGGTATTGCTTACCCCCCTTCTGTGCTCAGCCCAGACTGGGAACTCTGTTTTCAGGTGTCCTTGAAGTCCTTGCTCCTCTGATTTTAAAAAAAGCAGAGTGGTGGGAAATGCCAGACATTCCTGTTATAAATATAAGACTGGTCATTCCAGTAGAATTCAATCGCTGCTTTGTAAATGTGCTGTGATGGGAGGCCGGAGGGAGCACTAAGAAGTGAATTTTGCTGGTCGTGGGCCTGGCACTGGGGACAGATGGGTGTTTGGGACACTTTTTGGCTCCTGCGTTTCTGCTCTCGCCCCTGGACAAGGTCATGATGTCTCCAGTTACCTTTTCTGAGCTCACTGAACTGCTGGAAAGTTATGAAGGAGATTCTGACTGGGAAGTGAACTTTTCCTTTCTCTTTATAAAAACTTTAGAGGGCTTAAAGTTGTATTTGCAAATGACTTGAGTGAGTGGGGGATCTCCATGAGGCAGGGAGAGTTCACCTGGCTATTGTTATAAACTTCCAAGTCACGCTGTGAGTGCAGTTTCTGTGTCAGGATCCCGTTGTTCCCTATTCCAGTTTCTGTGTCAGGATCCCGTTTTTCCCTATTCCTCGTGTTCCCAGAAGCTGTGCAGACCTGCTTGCCTGTGCGTGGAGGTGATTTCCCAGCAAAGGCTTGTTGGTTTTGGCATCTAGAGAAGCCGGCGCTGCGCTGCAGGTGTCGGAGGATGCAGCAGCAAGTGTTAGAGTGCTGAAACAACAATGTTTCAGGGCTGACCAGAGGGTTTTCCTATAATAATGAGTCTTCGTTGGGCTTTTCATGTGGGCAGACCTTCGTGTAGTGACTCCAGTGAATCAGCAGCTTCTGGCAGGGCTGAGGGGAAAGAGGCTTTGCCAGGTCAAATTATGGTTTTGTGTGGCCTGGGCGCCCTGTGCCGCATGGCAGCGGCGATGGTGAGTCAGGGCTGGCTGCGCGAGGAGCAGGACGTGAGCTACGTGAGGAAGGGCTGCGGAGCAGGGGAGGAGCCGCTGCGGCACCGGCTGGCTCAGGGCAGGCCGAGAGGGCACGGCTGTCCTTCTCAGCTCTGACAGAGATTTTGGGCCCGTTAGTGCCTCTGTCAGAGCTGAGCCTGCTGAGCTGGTGTGTGCCTCTCACATGCTCGATGGGTTACTGGGGGGCTTTATCTGCCTGGAGTGGGCAGAACAAAAACCCTGCTCAGTCCCTGCTCTGTCCCAGCCTTCAGCTGAGCCACAACCCACATTTCTACAAGCACATCTTGTAGAAGGCAGCTCATGCCTGCTGTGAATATCCCCTGCATGCCCAGGGGATGGAGTTTGAAGTCAGACCAATATTTGAAGCCAAAATGTGTGATCTGTCCATGCCAGTAGCCACCACCTTGCATCCCTCCCTTACCAAGGCTTTTGGATTCTCACCTGGGCAGGTCCAAGAAACAAAGAGCTTTTAGTTGCCGCTTCTACCTGAGAACAAAATTACTGCAATTAGAAATGCCTGGGGGCACCAGCACTGCTGGGAAATGAGTGTCCTGCCATCCCAGTGGACAGTTAAGCTTCAGCTCAGCTTCCTCCTGGGGTTATGGGCTGTTCCTGCTGTTGTGGGGATGCTCTAGTCCTGAGGAGCCAAGCAGCCTGAGTTCAGAGAGGTTTTTTAATCCAAATTTTGCAAAAATAACCAGTTTTAAACTTT